AGGTTTGGATGTTTCTGAACTTGGAAGTGTGGTCTCAGTTGGGACTTCCAAGCAGTCATTACAAGAGATGGCTCCACAGCGGGAGAGTCGGGGGGTCGTAGCCACAGGAATTCATTGCCCCGCTCCCACAAGGAGGCTGGCTGGCTGGGAAATCCCAGTAAGGAGAAGCTGAGACCAACTGAACTGTGCTTGAAGTTAGTGGGACTGCAGTTTTGCCCTTCTTGTAGTTATTGCCTGCTGGGGTATCCTGGAGCTGCCCGATCCCTTCGATCCATGGGTACCACTGTCAGTGCAAGCTAAGTGCAAGTCCCTGCTCAGCTGGCAACATCTGGGGCAAACTGGAGAGGTACAAATTGCTTAGGAAAAGAAAAATGCAGAGAGCTTTACAAGGGGAAAGCTACCCCCACCCCCCCCACCCCCCAAAAAAAACGCTTCTTTTCTCACTGCAGCCTGCACTGAGGTCTGTGAGCTTGGCGCCCACCTAACCAGTCTCACCAGCTGCGAGTGCCTGCTGGGCATCTCGGGCAAGCGCTGGGAGGCCGGGGGGTGCAGTGTGCCTCTGCATTCAGGGCATGGCAGGGGCCCAGCGCCCTGGTTGTTCCCAGTTGTGGGGATATGGCTTAGCTTTGTATGCCAACCAAAGTTCCTAGTTTTGTCCTAACCTCCCTGCTTTTGGCTCTGGTGCTGCTCTGCAGGTCACGTCCGTCTCACCTTCTTTGGCCAGTGGACAGAGGTGGAGCCCCAGTACTGCAGCCAGGCACGGGAAGAGCTGTACAGTGCCCCAGGTAAGGGATGTGTCCCCTGCCTTCTCCTGCCCTCTGCCCAGTGCCACCGACGAGGGGAGAGGCGGCTTCTGCAGGCAGCGAGATGTGCCCAGCCCGGTACAGCCGCTGGTGCTCCCTGCCTCCAGCTCTAACACCTCTCTGGCTCTTTCTGCAGAAGTGGGGGGGATCACAGAGCCCACCGAAGCAGCTGACTGCTGGAGCTTTGGCTCTCTCTTGTATGAGTTGCTGACAGGAATGGTAAGAGGCGGAGGAGCTGTGCAAGGTGCAGGGAGGAGGAGGTGATGCTGCAGCACAAGGGCTCCCTGCCATGCAGAGGCTGGGAGGGTGCCTTGCCCTGCTGGCACCTCAGTGCTGTGCCAGGTTGCTTCAGGTGTGTGATTCCTAGTGCCTGTGCATGGTCCCCGAGTGTTCAGGGCCCTGGGTTTTAAATCCTGCTGTGTAGGATGGGGGTTGTGTGGCAATGAAGGCTCAGCAGGGTGTTCCTACCCTCCTCAGTGCCTCTGCTCACCAGCAGCCTCTGCCTTCTGCAGCCACTGTCCCAGAACCACCCTTCAGGGATTCAACCTCACACCCAGCTGTATCTGCCAGAGGGGCTCAGCCTGGCTGCCACATCACTGCTTGCTGAGGTGAGGGGCCTGGGTGGATGGGAGGGAGGACGGGGCTAGAGGCTGGCAAAAGGCAGGGTCCAGTCTGGGTAGCTTTTCCAGTGTCCCCATCTCCCCACCCTGCCATCCTGTCCCCTTTCTCCGCAGCTCCTGCAGTACAACCCGAAGCAGCGCTTGAGCTCTAGAGGAGGTGGCATGGCGAAGCTGAAGTCCCACTCCTTCTTCAGCACCGTCCCATGGAACAAGCTGGTCAGCTAGGCAGGCTGTCCTTCCCGCAGGGAGCTGGGCACAGAGCCACTGTCCCTGGCACTTGTGATCCCAGGTGGCACTGGCAGCTCTGCTGCTGGGGAGGTTTGCCTGCAAGGGCTGCCCCGGGGTGAGGTACGCATGAGGTTTTGCAGCCTTACATGTTCTTCTGTCTTTGCTTGTGTTTGTTGGTGTCTCCAAGAGTGGAGGCTGTGGTCTGGGCCAGGCTGTCTTCTCCTCTAGGTCCTCCCTGGTGGGAAAGGGAGCCCAGGTGCCCACCCCTGGGGACAGCCCATGCTCCCCTTCTGGGGCATCCCTTGCTCAGTGTAGCACTGTGCCCTGGGACTCCCTCCCTCTGTTTTTTTAATCTCTGCTGCTACCACAGTGACACCACCCCCCCCACCCCCCCACCCTT